GTAAGCGGGTTTGGACAACTGGTCAGAAAGAGATTACAGGCTACACTTTGCTGGCACCAATTGGCAACTCTATTGCCCATAAGCACTTCTGGGTCAAAGTTCTAGGGTGGAAAGGAGTACTTGTGGTCAATCACAAGTGATCAGGGGCCCTGGTGGCAGTCACAAGGCAGAGAGGAGCACTGGTGCTTGCAGCCACAGTACAGGAGGGGATAGTCCAGGTCCCAGTTCTAGGACTAAGAGGAGTGCTAGTGTTCGCAGCTGCAGGGGATCAGGGGTCTTTCATTGATAAAGGCCAGAGCACAGACCAGGAAAGCAATCACCACACCTCTCCCCAGATCACACCACCTTGGAAGCATTGAAAATTGTAAATCTCCAGAAATAGCTCTACAAACAGAAGCACAAGAAAAGCCTGAAGCATGGGACAACGCCTCCCCACCCCAAGGTGAACAGAGTCTAACTTTAACATAGAGTTCAAAGTCAAGAAAGGCTGGGTAAGTGAGCAAACAACAACAACAACAAAAATAACCTGTCTACAAAAGGTTACTATGGTGGCAGAGAGGATCAAGACACAAGCAAAGCTTCAAAAAAAAATGCTAATTGGACCCAAGCCCAACAAGAATTCCTGGAAGTGTTTTTTTTTTTTTTTTTAAAAAAAGAGATAAGAGTGGAAGAGGAAAATTTGGGGAAAAAATTAGAGTGACTTCAAGAAAATTATAAAAAGAGAATTAACAGCTTGGTAAAAGAGGCACAAAAAAATTACTGAAGAAAATAGCACCTTAACAAACAGGATTGACCTAATGGTAAAAAAAAAAAAGTCACAAAAATTCACTGAAAAAAAAGAACTTCTTAAAAAGCAGACTGGCCAAATGGAAAAACGGGTATAAAAGCTCACTGAATAAAATAATTCCTTAAAAATTAAAGAATTGGGAAGTGAAATCTGATGACTCCATAAGACATCAAGGAAAAACAAAACAAAGTCAAAAGAACGGAAAAATAGAAGATAATGTGAAATATCTCTTCCAAAAAACAACTGACCTAAAAATAGATTAAGGAGAGATAATTTAATAATTATTGGACTACTTGAAAACCATGATTAAAAAAAAGCTAGATATTATATTTCAAGAAATCATCAAGGAAAACTGCTCTAAAAACAGAGGGCAAAATAGAAACTAAAAGAATTCACCAATCAGTGCTCTAAAAACAGAGGGCAAAATAGAAACTAAAAGAATTCACCAATCAGTTCCTGAAAGAGATCTCAAAATGAATACTCCCAGGAATAATATAGCTAAATTCCATGACTCCCAGATCAAGAAGAAAATATTGCAAGCAACCAGAAAGAAATAATTCAAATATCATGGAGTCACAGTCAGGATAACACAAGACTTAGCAGTTTCCATGCTAAAGGAGCACAGTGCTTGGAATGATATTCCAGAAGGCAGAGAAGCTAGTATTACAACCAACAGCAATCTGTCTGGCAAAATTGAGTATAATCCTTGGGGGGGGGGATGGACTTTTAATGAAATAGAGGACTTTCAAGAATTCCTCATGAAAAGACTAGAGCTGAATAGAAAATTTGTCTTTCAAATATAAGACTCAAGAGAAGCATAAAAAGATAAACATGAAAAGAGAAAGCAGAAGGGACTTATGTTCAAATTATTTACATTCTTATATGGAAGATGATACTTGTGACTTCTAAGAACTTTATCATTATTAGAACAGTTAGAAGGAGTTTATATAGACAGAGGGCATGAATGTGAGTTTATTATATTGAGATTATCTCCAAAAAATGAATGAGTAAGAGGGATGCACTGGGAAAATATCCTCAAAAACAAATACCCACAGCCTTCCTGTGCCAGGTAGAGACAAACCAGGGAAGAAAAATAAGAGGGGAGTACAGATGCCTCCTAACTTTTCAAAGAGTTTCCTTGCCAAGATCTTTCAATAAAAAAGGTTTGTTCCTCTCTACACTTCTTATCTTCTGCCCTCTTTATCTAAGGAATGTATGAACCTTAGAACCCTAGAATTTAAGAGATAGAAGGGACCTTTTACATCATCAAGTTTTATCTACTCACTTTACTAATGATAAAATTAGTACCCAGAGAGGGAAATTGATTTTCCCAGGGTTATACTATAAGGTAGCAACAGAGTTAAGACTAGAATTGGATCCAGGTCTCTTCATGGCAATCTAGTACTCTTTCTACTTATTCCATGGTTATTCCCATACTTTTTCCTGGACTGAAAACTAAAGGCCCAGTATTCTAATTTACAGTTCATAAGATCATAGGTCCATAGATTTAGAGCTGGAAAGGACCTTAGAGGACATCTAATTGAACCCCTTCATTTTACAAATGAAAACAAGGCACAGAGAGATGGTGACTTCCCCAGGGTCACACAACTAGTAAGTGTCTAAGATGGGATTTGATCCCAGGTATTTCTGACTCTAAGTCAGAGCTAACACAAGGAATAGACAAGATGGTCAGTTTCCTGGGGCACATACTAAATGGGACCCCATTTAACATTAATTTGTATAGGTGGGCATATTTTTAAAGTCAGAGATTTTTGGTCTCCATGACATATAGATAAATATTTTTGTGACAACTCAAAGTCATGTATTACAGTAAAGGCTCAGGAGACTCCAGTGGACAATAAACACAGGGGATAAGATTTTCAAACCTTACCCAGGATGCTCAAATAAATATCTCATCCTAGCTTTGTTCAGAGGCACCAAAAAAGCTCCCTACTCAAACATGGAACAACTCCTCCCCTCCCCCCACAAATGTATCTTGGGATGGGGTTGTGTGAAGGGAGTGGAAGGCCTTAGGGAAAGAGAGGAAGGGAGACACAGAGAGAGAGCAAGAGTGTAAGTACTAGATTGCCAGCGTGAGTCCTTGACACAAAAAAAGCTTTAGAATCCTGTTCTGGGGACTTCATACACAGTGACAGTGGGATGTCAGGCTCAAGTCTCTCTTTTGGGGCTCCTTTTTCCAAATTCATTTTTCCCTCCTTCTTTCTCCAGATGTTCCTCTGATTTGGTGGGATAGAATGAGTACTGGACAGAATTTCTTTCTTCTTCTTGTTAAAACTGGTTCTTAGACACTTATTCTAAATAATTTATTTTTCTCCCAACTCCCACTGAATCTCCCCTCCCACAGAAATTTCTTTTCATAGGGGGGAAAAATAAAACACTAAATAAAAACTAAAAAAAATTTTAAAAATTTCTTTCCAACTCACCATAAGCAATTTCTTTATTTGTCATTTGTAGTATTTTTGTCTTAGTAACCCCATTGCCAGCATAGCACCTGGCACATGTTAGGTGCTTAATAATTCCTTGTTAACTGGTTGTAGAATCATAGAATTTCAGAAAAGTATCCTGGTGATTATATAAATTAGGCCCTCATTTTATAGATTAGTAAACTGAGACCTTGAGAGGGGAAGTAAAAGAGAAGTAAAGGGAAGTAAAAGTGGATGGGGTACTCAGTACAAGAGTTGGAGTTAGGAAGACCTGTATTCTAATCCTAATTTTCCACACTTGCCATCTATAGAACTGTGGGCAAGTATCTTAATTTACTTCAGCCTTTTTCTTCACCTGTAAAATGGGGATAATGGTAGCACATATTTCACAAAGGGAATCAAATAAGTGAATGTCAGTAAGGCTTTATATGAATCTAAGTCTTTGATATGACCCAGGCTCTGTCCCTTGCTAACCCTGTGACTCTAGGCCTCACTGTCTACATTTATAAAAGAGGGGTTTGGAATAGAGAAGTCCAGTGGTGCTCCCCAGCTCTGAATCTATAAGCCTATTTGCCAAGCATCCCATAGTTAGTAGCAGAACAGAGACTAGAATTAAGGTTTTCTGATTCCCAGTTCTGATTTCTTTCTATATCAATTTCCTATCTGGTCTAAATAGGCAGAAATTGTCTTGCCCCTGCACTACATTCTCATTCCTTATTCTTCTCCATGTCTCTGAACTCTTTTCTCCTGCACACACATACTCACACTCCTGAGGCCAGACAAATTAACAAAGATGAAGAAACACACAGAGGGAATTTAAACTCCCCAGGCTTACACAGAGCCAGTTTGTGCAAATTTTGTAGGCAAATGGATTTTCAAAGTCCTCCTCCCAAATCCTTGCCAACAGTTTGATCATTTTCCCCTCCCTCCTCCCCCTTAACAAGCTATGAACTTCATTGCTGCCACTAGTCAATGACACTCCTAATTGCATTCAACAAAATTATTGAACATTCTGTCAGCAACTGAATAAATTGACTAGGTAGTAGGATATAGTAGGAAAAAAAGCATCGAAGCAAGAGACTCCAGATCTAGCTCTGTCACCTACTACTGTCTGTGTGGGCTTGGGCAAGTCACATTACTTCTCTGGACCTCAGTTTCCACATTTGTAAAAATGAGTGCATTGTGTTAGATGAGCTTTAAGGGCCCTCGAAGCTCTGACATTCTATGATTCTATGAAATATACTTCCTCCCAGCTCTGTCACTTACTATCTGTGTGACCTTGGGCAAGTCATTTCATTTCTCTGGACCTCAGTTTCCTCCTCTGTAAAATGAGAAGGTTGAACTAGAGAGCTGGAAACATGATCCTATGGCCCTTCTAACTGTAAAACTCTATTACTCTATGAATCTTCTGAGCCTTAGTTTCCTCATCTGTAAAGTTAATGAGGGGGCTCTAGTAAATCCTGTGACCTTAGGGAAATTCATTGTAAAGCCCAGGGGAAAAAAAAAAAACCATGTATAAACCTGAGATCATTCAAGTAGGATATGAGAGGCCACACTATGGAAATTCATGGAAATAACATATGCTCTTTTCCCCAAAAACTCTTAGGAAATGTCTGGTTCAATAGGTTGGATGCTATGTCTAATGCTTAGAATTTCAAAGCATTTAAAAAAAATGAAAAGAGGCAGGAACATTTAATTAGTTTATTTCACATTTGATCTGTAAACTTTTATTTTTTTAAAAAAAATTCATTATTAGTAACATCTGATGACTTTGTTTTCCCCATTTGGTGAAATATGGTAGCAGTCCTTGAGGACTCAATATCGAAAGAACATGTATAGAAATGCTGATGTAAACATTTGTCTCAGACCTCCACACCCCACCTTCTGAGTTTACAAACAATGTGGTCTGAACAAGGAAAGCAGAAAAAGGACGATACTTTTGACGCTGAGAAATTCTTTTGTCGGTAGCTGTACAATTCGGCAGGCAGGTCCAATTGTCTTTTCAAATTGTTTGCCTTGGGCAGGTTGTAACAAGGTTGCTTTGCCCACATAATTTCTACCCCTCTGTCTCTGAAGACAGGAGTTAAAGTGCTCCCTCTTCCCCATTAGTCAGTGTCCACTGGTGAGGGTTTATATATATATATTGTATATAAATAGTTGCTTTCATGGTGAAAAGAATGGGGTGATGAGTCCTGTTTTCAAATGAAAATTTTGAGGCTGCAATTCTAGGAATGAAATAATGTCATGGGGAGGCTCAAGGTAAGTCAGGAGTTCCTTTAACTCTGCCTTGATTTATTACTGTAATATTTACATCGGAAAAGGCAATTATGCTGTTAGGCACAGGGAAAATGTACAGAAATATTTCCCTGTCAGGAAATATCAAACCACATCCAGATCCACAGGGATAATCACCAGTTGCTGGTGAAAAAGACACCAGAGGATTTTTAAAAGGGGGAGGGAGCCAAAAAAAAAAAAAAACAGCCCAGTAACAACCACCTTACACTGCCAAAGAGCTTTACTTTCTGGGAGAGACAATAGTTCCTTCTCGCAGATGAGTCCAGCGGTAGAAATTCAAACACCGATATCAACACCAATCAGTTACAACATGATACAGGTAACCCCATGTTTACTATTTTTTAAAGAGTGCACATTTACAATCATGAGGGAAAAGGGCAATTAGCCCTGGCAAAAAGCCTGGCTGCGACTGCCCAATTAATTAACTCTTTGTAAGAATTCCAACTTTCTCTTTTCCCAAGCACAAAGTGGAATTTGAGCCTAGCTTCTGGTGTCTGGGGCAACACCTTAAAGGGAAATATCTTTTGGAAACAATACTGCCCTATGGAGTAGCATGCAGCCGAAGGTCAGCTGTAGGTCTCTAACTGGGGCCTGAAATGATCTGGAGCAAAGAAGGTTTTCCCAACTGGAACTTCACAATGAGTGAATGCTGATGCTATCCACTTCTGGGAAGGCAAGCTAGGCTTTGCAGAACACCGAAGTTTTGGAATCAGGAAGGATCCTTAGTGGCTGTAGAGCCCTATACATCTGGGTTAACAATGAGTCTCTTTACACAGAGTCTGGTGCCTGTGCAAGTACTGTTCCCATAGTGTCATCTTTCGCCTACTTGAGTCCGTCTGTCCGTTAGTCTGCCCTGGTCAGAGTGTTCTCTCTCTGCCTGGTCTCTATTCCAAGGGTGGAGACAGGGCTTCATCCCTCAAAGCAGGAATCCTCCCAGCTCGCCAGTGATCCCTAGGGTGGGAAAAGACAAGCAAGAGGCCAAGGCTGGGCAGGGCTGGGGGCACTGCAGGGACTGAGTGAGGAGAGGAGGGGGTGGAGGCATGTGGGGTATCAGCTTCACTTCACACGATGCGCTTCCTATCCACCCGGCAAAGGATTTTCTTGAAGGCCCGGCGGAAGTCATGGTTGAAGATTGTGTAGATGATTGGGTTGAGTGAGCTGTTGCAGTAACCAAACCAGAAGAAGAACTTGAAGAGTGTGCGGGGGACGGAGCAGCAGACTGCTGTGAGCGTGTAGGTGAAGAAGAAGGGAAACCAACAGACCACGAAGACCCCGATCACTACGGCTAGCACAAAGGTGAAGCGCTTCTCACGGTTCTGGCGCCCTCGCCAGCGAGACGCTTTGGCGCCCCTCTCTTCTTCACCCCCTCTCCGGGGCAGGCTGTCACCGGGCTTCACCTGGCTCATTTTTGTCTTGCTCTTTCCCCTGGGGGCCCGCTCCCCTTTCCGGGGACCAGGGGGGCCCGGGGTCTGCTCTGGGTGCTCTGATGAGGAGCTTTCCTCCAAGTCCAGACCGTTCACCTCCTGCTCAGGTGGGACTGGCTCTCCCGCCCCGTTCAGCTTGGCGGGCAGAGGCTGGCCCTCCCCACACCCTCGGTCTGGAAGCCCGTTGGGACGGCGCTCAGCAGCCTCGCTGCCGTCGCTGCGTCGGCTGGGCGGCACCCGGGTGCGACGCTTGGCAATCTGATAGATACGTACGTACACTAGGATCATGATGAGGCAGGGGGCAAAGAAGGAACCGATGGAGGAGGAGACAACATACCACTTCTGGTCGTTGATTACACACCGGGGCTCCACCTGCTCGCCACCTCCCTTCTTCTCGATGGAGATGAGGGGTGGGAAGGAGATGACGGCCGAGATGACCCACACGGTGAAGATGATGGCCTTGATGCGTCGGGGCGTCCGCTTCAGGTTGTACTCGATCGCTTGGGTGATGGACCAGTAGCGGTCTAGGCTAATAGCGCACAGGTGAACAATGCTGGACGTACAGAAGAGTACGTCCAGCGCCAGGTAGATTTCACACCACACCTTGCCGAAGTACCAGTAACCCATCACCTCGTTGGCCAGCGAGAAAGGGATGACCAGCGTGGCCACAAGGATGTCAGCCGAGGCCAGAGACACCAAGAATAGGTTCTGGGGCGCCTTGAGGGCTCGACTGGTGAACACTGCGATGATGACCAGCACGTTGCCGAACACAGTTAGCAGCATGAGCAGCCCAGCCAAGCTGACAAGGGTCAGGGTCACCTGCAGTGAATAAGGAGTCTGCCAGGACCCAGTTCCGTTTAAACTTCCATTGCCAGAGTCCGGCTGAAGGGACCCCATAGGGGCGAAACTCCCCTCCGCCAGCGGGTGCTCCTGGTGTAACATGAAAACAAGCTCCTCCTCCCCTCCACTCAGTCCCAACTCTGTCCTCCTTTCTCCTCCGAGATGTCAGTTCTCTTCCCTTACCCCCACCCCCACCCCAAGAAAGCTCTTGGTGGCTCACATGAGGAGCTGCTTTTGGGAGAAGGGGATCCAGAAAAGTGGGGAAAGAGAGGAGGGAATCTGGAGAAGTGCTATGAATACAGCTAACTGCCCATGGTCTCAGTCCTCCTTTTAGCCCGAAGCAGCTACCGGGAAGATCACAATAGCCCCAACCTCACCGTGGGCTACCAAGCCCAAGCTCCGGGCGGCTTCTCTTTCCCTTTTTCTCCCACTCCCTACTCAGTAAATCCAAGTTTTATTTCCAAACGCAGGGCCAAGCAGGGGGAGAAATGCTGATTCTCCAAGAGGAAAGAGATGAGGGGAGAAAAAAGAGGAGAATCTGTGCCCTTTTTATTTGGAAGGGTGGCAACAAATATATGGCTCTTTACTTCAAATCTGGAGTGGAAAGCAAGTCTGTCTTACCGTGGTGAAGGCTGCTCAATAGGAACCCCGCCCCCCACTCAGGTCTCAGAAAAGGGGCCTGCGGGCTCCGGTGTTGCCAGGAAGATAGAGAGTTGAGGGAGAAGAGAGAACTGATTCTCTGCTTTCTAAAAGCCTTTAAACAGTTATTGGATTTCTCTCCTCCACAGGACAACGATGCAGGGAAGGCCCGAGTCAGCTTCTTTCTCTTCAGATCCCCGCCTAGAGATCTCCAAACTTGCGCGCCCCAATGGGTTGTACAGGTGGACCTTGAAGACTCCCAGTGGCAGTGGAAATTGGGCATGGGACATGGGGAGCGAGAAGTGGTCCCCTTCCTCACATTGTCGGGTGAAGAAAAACTATCCTTTGTTAGCTGTTGCCGGGGCGTTTTTCTGCGCCCGGGTGCTGCCTAGTCCAGGCGCCAAGGTTGGTTGGACAGCACCCTAGCTCGAGTCTCAAGTTAGACGCGGATTGGGCCTCGGTGGAATTGGGGCAAGCGGACTTGAATCGAAGAGGAGTGAGTGATCCAGGCTGGATGTCCAGGGAGCCGGTACAGTGGCGCGCCTCTTGGCGTCTCCAACAGAACGGGAACCAGTACTGTTGTCTTCCCTCACTGTGGACTGGTTTTATAGCCCCAGGATCAAGCCGCTGTTGCTGAGCAGCCAGCGTCAGTCCCCACGTGGGTACCCGACCCTCCTCCGCCCCCTCCCCGCCCCACTCCCTCCCCTCTCCAAGTCTCTTCTCTCTCTTCTTTCTCCATCTCTGCTCTCTCCGCTCCCTCTCTCCCTTCCCCCTTCCCCTTCTCTCTCTCTCTCTCTCTCTCTCTCTCTCTCTCTCTCTCTCTCTCTCTCTCTCTCTCTCTCTCTCTCTCTCTCTCTCTCTCTCTCTCTCTCTCTCTCTCTCTCTCTCTCTCTCTCTCTCTCTCTCTCTCTCTCTCTCTCTCTCTCTCCCTCTCCCCCCCAGCACCTTTTCTACACCAGCTTCCTAGCTGCACAGAGTTACCAACACCCTTGGGATCACCCCACCCCCTGCACCCCCGCTGGGGACCGGACCTTCGGAGAGTTGTTTGGGGTAAGGGGAGACGAAAAAGTGAAGGTGAAGAGAGATAGGAATTAGTGCTGGTTCTCCTGTGGAACTGTGAGTATGCACAGGTGTCCAAGGCGTTGAGAGGGCATAGGTACGGGATGAGAATGAGGAATCTAGATAACTAGGAAGGCGAGGCCCAAATCAAGCCCTCTACGGATCTCTTCTTTTGCCCCGCAGCACTGGGCAAAACCAGAAGTGTTCAGTTCGATCCAGGGCGTCTCGGCTGTTCACGCACCGAGGATCCCCAGCGGTCAGAGAAGAGGGAAACGCCCCTCCAACTTGTGGTAAGTGGGGCCAGTATCCCGGTGCAGCCCCAGGGGAAGAAAGAGGGCAGGTGAGGAAGCCAGGCTAACCCAGTTTGGCAGTTGCAGCACGACTATATCTTTTTCTTGTGCCCTGTACCCTCTAGGCTGGAACAGGCACCTTCTGGACATCTCCACCTAAGCTGGACCAGGCAACTGGGTGTTGGATGCTGGGCGAGGTCTGGAGGTCCGAGACCACTGCCTCTGCTCTGCTTTCCCTGCCTGGGGAAGGGACCGAGGGAAGAGAGAGTCGCGGAGAAAGTGCTGATTAGAAGCTGCGAAAACTGGCAGGAACAACCCACCCCGCAGGGCTGGGGGGATTGAGCCGCATTCAGTGGGCCAGGAAGGGGTCTCGGAATCCCTTGGAACCCCCGAGGAGTCTGCGCTCTCACCCACAGAGCGAGGGCGCACTGACACCTGCTGGTGGCTCAGGGTCAGTGCTGAGTACCCTCAAGCAATTTGATACACAGGATTCTGGAGATACTTGAGAACCCCAGCATGGGTAATCTAGGGCTTCTCTTTAGTAAGCTCCCTACCTTCAATAAGGACGAAACTGCTTAAAGGAAAGGGGGTTTCCGTTTTCAAATAACATTGGAATGTGTTATTTCAAAATCACCCAAAGTTCCTAAAGGAGAAAACCATTGTCTTTTTTCCTACTTCTTTCCTTTTCTTTCTTTCTTTTGCCCCCAATAGTGCGGTTATTTATGCATAAATAAATATAAAAGTCAAAAGACATCTGCCCTTATGGTCACTCTAACCTAGAGTTCGGGGGGGGGGCTGCGATGCAGTGGAAATAGTCCTAGATTTAGAGGACCTGGGGGTTACTTCCAACCTGATGGCTTGACCTTGGGTAATGACTCAATCAGCAAACGTTTATTGAGTATCAATTATGTGCCAGGCACTGAAGCAAGGTATTTACAATCAACAAGCATTTATTATACACCTATGATGTACCTAACACCGTGCTGGATAGGACCTAGGAACACGAAGACAAAAATGTGAAATAGTCCCTTCCCTTAAGAACTTACAGTCTACAATTCATGGTGAGATATTAAGTAGGGAAAAGGGGACTTTTTTCCATGAGAGTTAAATGTCAACAGAAATATCACATTAGCTCCTGCTTACATTGTGATATCTACATTGTTCAGATGAACGGATTAAGTCTCAGTTTAAGGCATCTGAGGAGATGAGATGTCAGGAGGAAAGAGGTGTTAAAAATACAGAAAAATGTGTCTCATTTTGATGGACTATTAAACTAAAGGCAGCTTCTGAAATCTTCTAATCTGAAGTACTAGATGATTAGGTTTGAAACAATCTGTCTAGCATGGTTTGAACAGTGTTCTGTTTCGTGACTAGAGGTTGAATTAAATGACCTCTGGATATCACTTCCCATGCAGTCTATGGTAGTTCCCCATGTTTTCCCCCTAGTCCATCCTTCCCCCTCCCTTTCCTAATGCTATGGAAGGTACTACCATCCTCACAGTTCCCCAGGTTCACTGGTTGTCATCCTTGACTCCTTACTATTTCTCACTCTCCATATCCAATCAGTTGCCAAGTCCTGTCGATTTCACCTTTGCCACATCTCTCCAATATGCCCCCTTCTCTCCTCTGGCACTTCTAACATCCTGCTACAGACCTGCATCATCTTACACTTGGACTGTTGCAATAGCCTACTGGTGGGTCTGAATGCCTCACAGTCTCTCCCCACTCTAATCCACTTTCCATTCAGCTATCTAGATGCTTTTCCTAAAGTGCAAGCCTTGGCTTGTCATGACTCTTACTTGATAAACTCTAGTGGCTCCTTATAGCCTCCAGGATCAAATACAAAACCATTTGATGTCCAATGCCCTTCATAACCTAACCCTACACACTCCTTCCCAGTCTTTTTACACCTTACACACCACCATATGTTCTTCAATCCAGTGACATTGGCCTCGTTGTTGTTCCATAAATAAGACACTCCAAATCTCAGCTCTGGGCATTTTACCTAGCTATAGTCCATGCCTGGGATGCTCACCTTCCTCATCTCTACCACCTGGCTTCCCTGGCTTCTTCCAAATCTCAATTAAAATCCCATCTTCCATGGGAAGCTTTTCCCAACCCTTCTGGATTTTAGTGCCTTCTCTCCTTTAATTATTTCCTATTTATGCTGCACGTAGCTAGTATGTGCATATTTGTTTACTCACTGTCTCCTCCGTTAATTTATGAGCTCCTTGAGGGCAGGGACTGTCTTTTGCCTTTTTTTTTTATCCCCAGTACTAAGTACCATAGTGCCTTTCACATAATAGGCACTTAAGAAATACTTATTGACTAACTGATTATAATAGAACCCAGGAGCTCCCTGTCTATGCCTTCAATGACATTTATTAATAATAACCATATATTTGCCTAACATTGAGTATTTTTCAAGGTGTTTTCATATGCATGATCTTATTTGACTCATACTCCTTGCCATTCAGTCCCTTAGATACTGTTTATTTAGAAAATAGTAACAAGACAGCAGCATTTCCATTAGAACTATAACTTGGAATTCTTGTGTCCAAGTTTCTACCACAAATCATGATTGGGGCAATTGGCAGGAAACAGAAGGGACCCTACTCCTTGGAGAAAATGAAACCTTGAAACAGGAGAATAAGGCTACTGTTAGGAGGCTGGTGCACAACTGAGACAAAAGTGGGGAGGGGAGGACCAACACCAACAGTCTCTGGTAGCTTTCTATTTTAACTAATTATTCTTACTAACCAGGAGCTAGGTACTTTAATTTTACGATGCTGAAGGACTGTAAGTGCTATAAGTCTAATTTTGGTACCTTCAAAATGGAGCACCCCCTAACCTCATTGCTGTGGTACAGAGTCCTTGTTGACCCATTCTAGTAATGGCTCTGATTTTCATCATCACATACTATTTCCCCTGCTGCATTTTGTATCCTGAGAACTGTTTCAACACCCTCCTCTGGAGCACACACAGAGAACTGCCAACAGTGCTCAGAATCTCCATCCATCCATCATTTTCTGACTGATTCCAAGCTATTCTACTAATCTGGCCACAGCAAGATAAATCTTTGATTCACTTGGTAAGGCTGATCAGATACAAGGGACTAGGGCATTTCTCTCGGCTGAACTGAAAACCATAATGCTGCTTATCCACACAGAACTCAGGAGAGTCACCAAGGGCACCCAATCAGGAGCATGAATATTGAAAGAAAAATCAAAGCCAGGGGCATTTTTAGATTCATCACCTTACTGAAGTCTGGAGAGCAAGGCCTGGGAAACTTAAAATTATTACTTTACCACCTTTCCCTTACCCCTACCCAAGACTTTGATTAAAAAAAAAATTAGAAATTTGCATCCAGTCCTCTCCCTTCTATCATTTCAGATCCATAAAGGAAAATAAAGACAGTCAGGCTACACATATTTGCCTTTTCCTAAAATTGTTACTGCTAGCTGATGCATATCCTTCAATAGCCCTGCTTCTCAAACAGTCTCATTAACTCACTTATTTACAGCCCTTCTGTCTGCAGAAAAGAATGAAGCAAGCATTCAAAGAACTAGGAGTTCCAGAATGAATGCTTCTCTTCCCATCATGTTTACTTTTAGGGCTAAGACCCCTACTAGCTTGGTATGGAGCACAGAATCTAGCAGCTTGAGGACTCTCAATCACACCTTGTTTGCCCTCTGGAAAGTTTTCATAGCCGGAACTGGCTTATTATCTACTGATTCTGAATCAGAAATGTCTGCTGGATAGGGAGGCATTCCCGAAAAGACCTAGGTCAGCTTCCGTGGCCTGAAGATGAATGTTTGCTGTTAACCAACGGTCATCAATTCTGTGGCTTCACTCCATTTCTAAGGACAGCTTGATATTTACCTTAAATGCATTAGGGAGCTGTATTGGAATACTCACTCAAAAGAGGAAAACAAAAAAAACCATACTGAGCTTCTGAATGACTGCATGAAAGGCAGTACGGTACAACGGAAAGAGCATTTGCTCTGAGTTCCAATCCCACTTCTGATGTTTACTACATATATGATATTGGATAGGTCACTTAGCCTTCCTGGGCCTCAGTTTCTTCATCTGCAAAATTCCGGGGTTGGATTAGATGGCCTCTAACATCACTTTCCTCCCTAAATCTATGATCCAATAATTCCAGACTTCCTATGGAGATGATAGATAGGAGCTAGCCAATGCCTCTATAGATTTCTTCTCAAACCCAAATAAGATTTCCCCAAAGAAACCCCTTGCCACAGTGTGATATTCTTTTTTTAAAATTTATTTTGTGTGTGTGTGTGTGTGTGTGTGTGTTTTGGCAATTGGGGTTAAGTGACTTGCCCAGGGTCACTCAACTAGTGTCAAGTGTGTGGTCTGAGGCTGGATTTGAACTCAGGTCCTCCTGACTTCACAGCCGGTGCAGCCACTTAGCTGCCCCATGATATTCTTTTAATACAGGGTTGAGAACTCAAAAACAGATACTGCAACTTACATAACATCTACTCTCCTCTTCATGAGGCCATTAGTGGCACAGTGGATAGAGTACTGGACCTGGAGTCAGGAAGACCTGAGTTCAAATTCAGCCTCAGATACTTAGTAGCTATATGTTGACAGGAAAATTACCTAATTGCTATTTGCCAGTTTCCTCAACTATAAAATAGGGACACTAAGAGCACCTACCCTGTAGGACTATTGTAAGTCTCAAGTGAGATATTTGCAAAAGTACCTCAACACAGTGCCTGGCACATATAAATGCTTATCTCTTTCCCTTCTGCACAAGATGAAAAAAGACTGAATACGTGATAGGGAACAGAGCTGGTGGTCTCCACAGTACAATCTTTACAATGTGGGTGAAAAGTTGGAAAGCTCAAAGGATGAATAAGAGGTAAGGGGTAGAACTGACAAAACGTAACCCAGAACCAGCATTTCCCATGCCCTAGATTTCTTCTCCTACCATGCTCCCTTGCACCAATGGTGATGGGCAGCACTCTATCCATCAGAGTGATGGATTTGGAGATATTTCCTCATTTCCCACCTGGCTATACTCATTTTAGAATTCTTTGGTTTCTCCAGCATGCCCCCACATGGGGTACCTCCTCCCCCTTTTCATCTTTCTTTGATTTATTGTCTTCCTCTGTTAGAATGTAAGCTCCTTGAGGGCAGGACTTTCTTTTTTTTATAGTTGTATCCTCAATATTTAGCACAGTGCCTGGCGTGTATTGCTTAATAAAGTTTACTGACTACTCCAGTCAGGAAGACTAGTTCAAATCTGGCCTCAGGCATTTACTATCTATGTGACCCTTGGCAATGCACTTTGACCTCTTCCTGCCTCAATTTCTTCACTATATAATGGAAAGAATAATAGCACCCATCTCCCAGATCTGTCATGAGGATAAAGTGCCTTGCAAGCCTTAAAATGCCATAAAAATGCTAGCTGTGTTTCCATGTGGAGGAGAAATTATAACACTATGGTAATATTTATGGGGACCCTTTTCATATTGCCCTTTCCCTCTCCCCTATCTTCAACAGAATCATCAGAGATCCACTCTTTCATTCATTCAAGAAACATTTATTTAGACATAAGGTACTACGGGGGCTGTGTAAGTGCTATTTATATAAGGGAGAAAATCACCTAATCCAAATCCTGATTCAGAGTGAACATTAACAGGCTTTGCTACCAACTCACTGTATTGCCTTGGGTAAGACACTTTATCTCTCTTCACCTTTGTAAATTGGGAAATTTTGTCA